CGGGGGGGCCAAGGCCCCCCCCCAGCCAAGGCAGAGGCTCGCGTGGCGGGAGCCCTCTGGTTGTCTTCACTAACACCTTTCGCCCTAGGAAACTAGCTGTTCTGAGTCTTTAAGATTAGTCACTGGAAAGGCAGATCCAGGGTTTTCCTCCTGCTGTCCGAGGTGTCCTGTTAATCCCATGGAGGTTGCTCTGTTATCTTTGCGTGGCCGCTTGCTTTCCCCAGCAGCAGCCGGGCGTGCGAGGCCTTACTGGTTCTGGGGGGTGGCAGGCGCCCCACCGGGGTGGGATCCCCGACCCTCCTTGGGGACTACAGAGCTCAGGCAAGGCTGGGGGAGAGGAACATGGTTTTTAGGGGACCACTGTGAGACCTAAAGTAGCCATCCCGGCTGGTGGAGGTGCCTGCGGCTGTGGCAGCAGGGAACAGGCCACCGCCACACGGCAGCTTTCGAGGTGACCCCGTGAACCGTCCTGGGCGCTGTGAGGCCTCCCGTGCCGTGCCGCTTCCCGCAGAGCTCGCTCCGCCGGCTGCTGGGCTCCAGCCCCCGCTTCCTAGCCGGCTCTGCGTAGATGGGGCTGTGCGCACAGCCGCTGACGAGGCCCGCGGATTAGGGTGGAGGCTATTTTTTAACTTCCTGGAACATTTGAACTAAGCAGCTTGCTCGCATCAGAGCTGGCTCGCTAAAGGTCAGCTATCGACAGGGTGGCGGGGAGGGGGGGCTGTGGCCTGTGTTTGATCTTCACGGAGAGCCTGGACCTCCCTCAGATTGAGGACACGAGGAGAGCGGAGAGCTTAGGTTGTGCACTAGGTGGTGCAGGTTGCTCTCCATGAGCTGCAGAGGCTGTGCAGGAGCTTGGCCAAGGTCAACCCCTCACTCGCTCGCTCCCCAAAACCACTGTCTCATCTCAGTCCGCAGGAGCGGAGCTACAGAGCCCCTCGTCTGCCGTCAGGTGGCCACAGCTTCCTCCATGACGGAGGTCTTCTCCTGGCAGCAAATAAGAAGGAGAAGGACTTGGCCATCGGTTGTTCTGCAGCCGTGCCCCAGCCTCTTGCCTCTTTCCCGAAGATTAAAATCTCCTAAGGGTTTTCTTTTTTTCAGTTCATATCTCACCAGGCATATGTCTTTCACTCATATGATGCCATTGTAAATGGTTGCACTGTTTTAGCTCCTTGCCAGGCTTTCTAGGATAGCCCATGTGGAAGTGCCTTATAGACGTGCCTCTGTTACATTAGTGTCATGGAAAAGGTTGGGGTTTTTTAAGTTATATTTATTTTCATCCCATTTTAATTGCACAAAACACTAAAACTTAATGCATGGAATCCCTCTTTTTTTTTTTTAACTGTGTTTTTAGTTTTCAAACCACCCTTTTTCCAGCCTCGGAGAAAGGGTTTGAACAGATATGCATAGATATGAACCAGTTATCGCTGTACTTTAGCTCTGAGTTGCTCTTATATATGTATATTATTTTTTAAGCCTGTTTATAAACCAGATTCCTTGCTCTGTGGCTTCGAAAGAAGCAGATTGTTTCTCTCAGCTGTCTTATGCCTTTCTGGAGGCTGGAACGGTTGCTGTGAGGTATTCTCCCCACTCCCACCCGCCCTTTCGGTCATTGGGTAATAACAGAGAAAAATCTGAACTGTTCTGAAACACCAACGCACAGTGCCTGTAAAAAAATCCTGTTAACTTTCCAAATAAAGGCATATGGGAACCGTTCTCCTGGGTGAGCAGTCCGTGTCCGTGGTGCGACTCGGAGGGCAGGAGCAGCTCGTCGCGGCCCTACCGCTTGGGGGGCTGGGTGTGCTTTTGGTTACCCCGACACGCGCTATGTGAAAGCAAGAGTAGGAAAAGACCTTGGGAGAGGTGTTAGGCAAAAGGGAGCAGGCAGAGGAGAGAGCCAAGCCAGGGCCGCCCGGCTGCCTGGGCTGCCGGAGGGGCGGCCCGGCTGTGTTTTTCCATCCCTCCTCTGCAGGGAAGCCCACCAAAGGCAGCTCCACGCCAGGGGTGTTTCCAGTCTTTATGTTTTGTCCTATCGCTGTAGTGCAGCTCCTGCCGAGCGTTTTCCGCCTGCCGCAGTGGGATTTGGGC